TGCTGATCTTGCTTATCTCTAGCTTCAAAGGACATACCCACATCTGGGCTCTGGAAAGCCACAATACTGCTGCTGAGTTCTGCACTTTATCACTGCAGTCAGTGCAGCACTTCACAACTGTGGTGACTTGTAGGAGTGGAAACTGCCTCCTGAGCTCTCACACCAGTGGTTTTTATGAAGGGTGACCTCAAAGGGGCAGTTCTCTAAGCTGACTGAAGAAGAGGGAGTTAGTGTGACCCAGGTGGCAGCAGGAAGGAGTTAAGATTTTAGTGAAGTGGTTTTGACTGATGTTCTTCCATTTCTGGCCTGCTAGTTTGTTACAAAATATGGTCTTTCATGTGCCAGTTGTAACTTCTCATCACAGTTCCTGTGCAGCTCATGTCTGCATTTGTTTTATTCATGCTTTGGTATCCTTGTGAGCTGAGAAGTGATTTTGTGCTGGGAGGAAGCAGAGGGACTATTTGACTTACATGTGGTATTCATAGGGGTTGTATCTCTACAAATAGACTCCATTTTTAATAAATGTATTTGGTTGGCATCAGAAATAGTATTTAATGGTAAATCTATTTCTAGTCAACTAATTCAAAGTAAATCAATTTCTAATGCTAAAGTTCTTTACTTGTATGGGGAGACTGAGAGTTCAGTTTGGAATCATGAATATCTTCTGAGTAGATTAGGAAGATATACTTGATTTTGACTAAAAGTGGTTGTCTACTCTCTCAGCCCAACTGCAATAACGTGTCTGGAACATGGAGCTGTTTAATGGTGAGTTGGTTTATCAAAATGGTAGTTTTTATAACTAAAAATGTAAGTTTGGTTTAAAACATGTTATTGCCTGTGGTGTCTTCTGATGCCTGGATACGTTTGTCTGGGAATGTCTTCTATGCCGGTCATTACCCTTGTTTGAGCTCTGTGCAAAAGTCCTTATTCTTTATGCTGAATCCGCCTTATGCACTGTTCTCTTCTGACAAAATTTTCCTTAAAACACCACATGAATTTCCAAAAGGAAAGTCTTTAGAAGATTCCAGTGCTGAAAAGATCATGTCAGAGATTTTGTTGGGAGGAGAAAATAATCACCGTTCCCCCCCCCCCCCCTTCCATAAGCCTCACTATGAGATGGAGGTGTTGCTTTAGGAGAGGGTTTTGATGTCTGTTTTAAAATACAAAATTAAGTCTTGCTACAGATTTCCCTGACTCTTTTGAGGACATAGAAGGGGAACAGTCAAATTCATGCAGAATTTGTATAACTGAGTTTTTAAAGACATACTATAGGGTAGCTGGAGTGCTCCTCAGTTAACAGTTATGTGAACTAAGACTTTGTCCTAGCTTTATGAAAGAGTTGTCTTGGAGGGATTCAGGAAACATGCAGTGTTACCATAGAGTGGCCCTGCAGTCCTTTTTCGGCAGAGAAGACTGGAGGCTCACCTTAAAGTAATTTTTTATGTGAAGGTAAATATTTTTTACTGTATAAATTTATGGAAAAATACTTAAAGGAAAACAACACAAAACCAAACCAAGCCTCTAGCTGTTACATCTCAGATGCTCCTCTAATTTGTAACTTCTCTTTTAGCAAGGTCTTGGTGGGGTTGTAGATTACAGTATGGGGTGCGGAGAAATCTGTGTGACATCTCTGACTTGAGACAGTACAAATATGCTAATATGTCACTCATATACAAATGTTGTATAATACATAAGAAGCTAATAGACAGGAGTATATAGCATTTAATATTGTACAAATACAAATGTGGTGATGGCCATTTGTAGAACATGGTGTAGCATCGTAGAATCATAGAATAGTTAGGGTTGGAAAGGACATTAAGATCATCTACCTCCAACCCCCCAGCCATGGGCAGGGACACCTCACACAAAACCATGTCACCCAAACCTCTGTCCAGCCTGGCCTTGAACACCACCAGGGATGGACCATTCACAACCCATTCCAGTACCTCACCTCACAGTAAAGAACTTTCTCCTTATATCCAATCTAAACTTCCCCTGTTTAAGTTTCAACCCATTACCCCTTTGTCCTATCATTACAGTAACTAATGAAGAGTCCCTCTCCAGAATCCTTGTAGGCCCCCTTCAGATACTGGAAGGCTGCTATGAGGTCTCCACGCAGCCTTCTCTTCTCCAGGCTGAATAGCCCCAACTTTCTCAGCCTCTCTTCAGGTGCTACAGTCCCCTGTGGCCCTCCTCTGGACTTGCTCCAACAGCTCCATGTCCTTTGTATGTTGAGAACTGCACACAATACTCCAAGTGAGGACTCATGAGAGCAGAGTAGAGGGGCAGGATCACCTCCTTTGACCTGCTGGTCACACTCCTTTTGATGCAGCCCAGGATATGGTTGGTTTCTGGGATGCAAGCATGCACTGAAGCTGGCTCATATTAAGTTTCTCATCAACCAACACTCCCAAGTCCTTTTCCGCTAGGCTGCTCAGAATCTCTTCTCTGCCCAACCTGTAGCTGTGTCTGGGATTGCTCCAACCCAGGTGTAGGACCTTGCACTTGGCTTGGTTGAACTTCATGAGGTTGGAATTAATATGAATTTAGATATTCAGGTTTTATTGAAAGCCAGGGTTTAGCCTGTGGAAGAAGTTCATTCAGCATAATCTTAAGCTTCACCAGTCCTTCTTGGCTTAGGGGTTACATCTTAATACTAATATGAACACAGTTTGGGAGGGAGGGTTATGTGTTTATTTATTTCTTGGTCTTTGTAAAACAATCAAAACCCCAAATAGTCAGTTGGCACCAAATTCAAGTGCTTTATCTCTGATATATTGTAACTATAAATTCTGTAATGCACAAATGCGTGGTCAAAAAGTACTGCACTTGCTTTGCAGTATTTCTGTTTGATGTGTGATAGCTGAAAGGAAATTGTGGCAAATATAGCCTACAAACTTTTAGAATGGCTGTGTTCATAAAGAAAATGTATTTTATGCAATTTACTGGGCATAGTAATAGGCTTTATTTTTTCAGTTTTATGGGTATTTGCCCGAATTCTGATGTCATCAGCATAGAACAGACTTTAACAAGGAAAGATTGGATGATCTAATATAGGGACTGCCTCCACAAGTATCATAGTAAATATTGAAATGAAGCAGCTTCACTGTGAAAATCAGCTTGTGCATATTGATCAGCTTATAGCTCATTCTGAAGAAATGTGATGCTCTAGAACACAAATTGAGCAGAATACAAAATGCAGATGCAAAATCTCACAATCTAGCACATTTCGAAAGCCTTAGAATAATTTGGGAAAGTCATGAATGAAAATGGGTGCAGTCTTTTATACACCAGAAATAATTTTCTGATCCTTTCTTTGCCTTACTATAGTTCTGAAATATCCCTTCTTCTCTCACAGAGCCTTATTCTTTGTACTCACTTGGGGTTTTCTTTACAAATTCATTTCCATTCTTAGGTAATTACAGGTAGCATCTATTTAGAAAAATGTGATACACTATTTCCTTTCCTTTAACACAGTATGAAACAGAATCAAAGTATTCTGTAGCTGAAAAGAATGCCCATATCAATTTAGGGATTATTTCTGTTTGAGACAGTGTAACTCAATGAGGAGCGGAAGTCTGTATTGGAAGGTGAAATACACCCAGTAATCTGCACTGATGCTTAATTGGTTTTGACTTCACTCTGAGAGGCCTCAGAAGTTCATTTGCATAAGTGAACAAAATGTTGCATTTGACTCACAAATGAGGTTTAACTACCTGGAGAATGTTCAGAAGCTTGCCAGATTTAGAAGGCTGTGCCTCTTCAAAGCTCTGTGTGGCCTGTTCTGAGCAGCAGTGGAACCATTTCATCAGTCTGCTCCGGGACACTGACACGAGAGGTTCTCAACAGGAACATACACCTCTCTAGCATGTCCCATTCAGTCTGTATTTCAAAATGTTGGGTTTGCCTCCCTGAAAAAATCTTACTTGTAGTGAAGAAAACACTCCAGGTTTTTCCTCCTTCCTTTTCACCCAGGCACTGTGAGCCAGAACACCGACTCCCTTCCTCCATTTCTCTTGCAGCTGCTTTTATACATGACTTCAGTGTTGCAGTTTGATCCCCTTTCCACAAGGAAACACTGTGGACTCACCCAAGAGATTATCCTGAGATTTTGCTGGAGACATGACTCTGTTGTTAACAAAGTACACACAAGAATCATGTTATATTTTACCAGGTATTATCACAGCATCTTGAGTTTTGATCAATTTTTCATGGGGATGGGTTTAAACTAGTGCTGTTCAGTGACCTCCTTAGTACCCCTACGCAGTCATACACCATCACTGCATGCACTGCATAATTTTAAGTCTTCTTCTGTGTTAAGACTTTAGAAGACTTTTTAAATAAGGTGTATTGCCTTTGTGTAAAAGAGCAGGGAATGTCCAAAATTGCTTAATATGTCTCTGCAGTTGCATTGTCACAGCTGCTTGGGTTTGTGCTTGTGTTTGGGGGTGAACCCAAGCAGCTGCACATCATATAAAAAATCCAGTGACAAACTACGAAACGAGGACTGTATGAATTATGAGCTACATATAAAGGTCATAGATTGCAATTGTTTTAATTTTTTATGAAGCCGCTTCATTTAAAATCTGTTGAAGAGTATCACCTGTATTTTACCTGTGTTATGTAAATTATTCTATTTAAAGTGACAAAAGCACTGAAAAGTCTGGGTTCTTACCCTACCTGCTCTTGAGAAAAGAACAGAAAACAGGAAAGGAATTAATGCAATAGTATTGCTTAAAAAAAGAAAAAGTCCAGACCTACACTGTGAGAGTACAGGAAGTCTATTCCTACAGATTTTGGCCGATTTTGAAGATAAACCATCAATCGTTTAGGGTTTGTGTAAGTGCAGATTTCAGTCTTCTTTTTTTTCTTTTGTTTTGTTAGAAATGTGCTTACAACATAGGCCAAATGTCACAATTTTTGTGATTATTATTAATCTGATTTTGTGATTATTATTACAAGGTATTTTGCATTTTAATAAGTAGGCATGGACAAATGAACACAGTTTTCGTTTTTTATTTGAGACACTTAGCAAAAATGCTGAAATATCAAACATTTCCTCGGTAGCTACAATATTGCCACTATGTACAAAATATTTGATAAATGTAGTACACATATAAAAATACAGTATGCATTACATATATACAGTACAATGTGCAAAACATATGGCATTCAAACATATGGAATTGATTTTAGGGGTGCAAACAGCAAATACAAAGGCATCATGGTTTCTTATAGAAAGGCAATACATAAACTGACGCCCTGATTGCCATAATCTGCATTTAGTAAAGTAGTGCTTAAATGAAGAGGGCCCTAGAGACAGGTGTCTATCTTCTTCTTTCCACAAAATGAGATGCTAAGACATAATTATGACTATGAAAATAAGAAGAGAAACACCTACTAGGGTTAGCATTATTTCTACTGCAAGCAGTACTGTGAAGAAAAATCCTATCTGGAAAAAAGCCTGTGCTAGTACTTACTACAAATTTCTCAAACAACAAAAACAAATCTGTACTGTTAAACATCAAAACCAGCTTTCAAAATATCTACATCCTTAATTTTAAAAAAAGTATGGATAATACTTCTGGGGACTTAATTTCCTATGCTTCAAAATACAAAGTGCCTCCTTTGGCAATATAAATGGCAATACTTTGGTTCCTATTTAAATTTTTATATTATAATAATTTATTTTAGGCTGTCTTTTGAATATCTGAGCTGTATTTTTTATAAAAATAGTGTTATTATATAGTTATTAACCATTCCCTGCTTTTTATTGAGATTTTTCTCTCATAGCTAGAATGGCTTTTTGGCTAGATTTCTAAAAATATGCACTTTTAACTTAAAAAGTCTTTAGTCAGTATGGACACTACAGAATGATGTACGTGTCTGTTTTTTGCACTTTTTATTTATTCCTAGCGAATTGGTATAAAAGGAATATTTGAGATTACTTCAGATTTTATGTATGCTCTTTATTGGCTATGTGTATACTATATGCAACTCCATTCCACATTATCTCGTGTTAAAAGCCATCTGTAGTATGGTCTATAAGTCATCAAAAGGTGACTTAATAGACCACAATATAAAGTTTCAACAGATCATTAACTAGAGATAAATGAAAGAATTTTTTTTTCCAGTTTTAATAGGATTTGCTTTAAGTTTATAATACACTGAAGATGTCATCCAAATAACAATAGTTTACATTGGTGAGCTGTACTGAGTTTGATTCAATAATGCCCTTCCAGTTACATGTATTCTGTGATTGCATTTTCTCTGTCTTGAAACAGTTCAGCAGCTTGTGCCTGGTTTCCAACTACAGTGCCTGTGCTTTTCAGGCATCTGAATGTTTGAGATACATAACATCGCAATACATTTCAATTTTAACATTGAAACTTCCATCTTGATCACCTGCTTCCTTGAACATAACTCCTGGTGGTGAATTTAGAAGTACCTTGGAAAGAAATTTCATTATTAAGTAGTGATTATTTCTAAACGCTGTGGCAAGCTGTTGCCTCAACTTTTTAAAGGTCTGATTCTGCAAGCCCACATTGCTGGATTAGACTCTAAATTTCTGTAGCGAACCACTGCCATAAATACATTTTATTCTCAGAGAGAACTGCTATATTTATGACACCAAGATTTCTGAAATATTTATAATGTTAAAAAAAAAATTGCCTGTAAACTTACTTGCCTTAACTAATGCTGAATGGCACAAAAAGTGCATAACCAATACCATTTCTGTATTAAATGCAGGATGTCACTCTTGACTTGCCAAACATGTCTGAGCTCTCTCAGTGTCTAGAAGTGTAAACGCCAACTTTTGATTTTCACACTGATAAAATGGCATTCCTAATTACTTTGAAGGATCTACTAACAACACATTTGATGGGATATGTTCCATCAGTATACTGCAGCCATTACATGGCAAATTTAGTGCCAGTGCATTCCTTTTGCAACTGTTCTCTTAATGAGAAGTATTTAGTTCTGCACAGTCATTCGAACTGCACGGTCATGATTAAATTTCTAAAGATGTATTGTACTTGTGTGACAAAAATTGTCATGTAAAGCATGCACACACAGAAGTCTTAAGCAAACCTATTTCTGCCATAACAGGCATTGTAACTATGGCAAATACACATTTCAGAACAAAGTCTAAAGCAAACCATTATATATAAGGTTTAATACACAAGTCTGAAATGTACAAAAAAATAATCACACATTCCCTACACTAGAGTATTTGTACTTCAGAAACAAAAATGATCCCTTAATTTTTTAATTTTTTTTTTTCTTTTTTTCAAATAGAGTAGAAAGCTATGCTGTACTGATAACAACACATCTCACCTGCTTGGGTTTATTTCTGCACACAGATTCCTATGGATTAGTTAACATTCTACACTGTCAATAAGGATAGTTTTGTAGCAAGATGACTTTGCCAGTTTTAAGCTCTATTTACATGCACATCAAAATGACAGTACAGTTGCTCTAGGTTTATCTGTCCTCTAAAAATTAATTTACTTGCTTCTTAATCAGAAGGCAGGGTCAAAAAGGGCTAACTCTAACCACATGTACGTGGTATGATATCTGGTGTATTACACACAATAAATTGACAGTACTGCAGAACACTAAATTTCATTCAAAGTTGTCCTATCAGACCAAGAGTCCTTAATTGCTATTCTCTTAACAGTTGAGGGCACTTAGTATCTCAGAGTATTAGCTCCAAAGATCATATGATGAAAAGGAATGCAAAAAGTTGAATGTGTTTGTTCAGCGTTACTGGAGAGTCCTATACTATGAAATTTTAAGGCAGACAGTCCATGTGTAATATTGTACTCAAGTATTGTAGGCACAGCAAGAAGCACTAAGGAAGGATGTCTTTCAGCTTCATCTTTTGTTGTGAAAATCTCCACAGATTGTTTTTCTTTACTTAGTTTTAGATTAAAGTAAATCCTGGCCTGTAAAACTACTGAAGATACATAATGGTTTAAAGTGCTGGTAGCTGGATATGACGCAAACATATGATGCCAGTTTAAACCCTAAGCCACTGATATAATCCACTATTTTATCTGAAGCCAATGGAATTGTGTAATATTAGTAAACCAGGCTGCATTGTGCATCTGGAGACATAAATTTGCAGTTAATTCCACAACACTTTCTGACAACAGTATTTTGCTTCATGTTACCATGACACTGTAGTGATTTTCATAAAATGTGACAGAGGTCGTTAAATAGTTAACAGCTACTTTCTGTTTTCATTATTTCTTTCATACTCTGACACACATCATTACTCTAAGAAGTAAACAAAAGCTTCAGGGCTTTTTTCCATTAGTTTCTACAAAATTTAATTTTTGAAAGATAGTGGTGAGGAAGGAATTCTGCAATGAGCTCAGTTTTCAGACTAGAAAATACGATCCCATTTCCACTGTTCAGGAAATAGGGGAATTTATCTTAATTTAGGAAATCCCTAGTAGGAAATAATTCCAATTTTATATCTGATTATCAGCCTACATCATCTATGGCAACATTTAACAGCTATCACCTGAGAGACAAGCATAAAATGTCAGAGTATTTTACTTCTGTTTGCATTTTGTGTTGTTTTTTTTTTCTTCCACCTGCATGCATAATAGACTGAAAAAAATTACTAAGGGCTTAAAAATAGTATTTCCATGTGCTGTGCTTTGAGGTAAGAGCTTAATTTTTGCAATTATCTATTTCAGGTATGAAATATGTCTTACCATGAAACAGTACATCCTGATACTGCTATTTAGGATTCTCACTGAGCAGCTTCTCTGTTTAGCTTCCCTGATGTTATGTAGTGGTAGACAAAGCTGTTCAACAGATAAAGTATTCAATAAGAAATGATGGCTGTCCTGTCAGTACTGTCCCTGCAACTCGGTCTGATCCTGCAAACATCTTTTATTGAGGGCACTGGGATAGATGCTTGCAGGATCATAATGCACAACAGCATGAGTTGAACTTTTCTACTTCCTCAAACTGTTCTAATATGCTGAGATACTGGATTCAACGATCTAACAAATATCCTCAAGCACACAGTAAATTAGGATATTTATTACTTCCATTACAGTAATCTCTTGTTTGAAGACCACTGTTCCCCTCTGTTTGCAAAAATAAACTATACAAAGTTAAAAGAGTATACAAATAACTGTCTGATATACAGATTAAAACCTAGTTATTAAATCCAGAGCATCACTATAGAAAATTCAGTGTTCTCAATATTACCTGGCGTAGCTACAGTGGATTTCTTGCAGTTACACTTAATATCCCTTTGAATGCGGTTAAATTCTTCCCTCATGATTAAAGTATAGGGGAAGAGTTTAAAAAAACCACAAAACCAAAATATAAAAACAATTGAACAAATTAAGAGACTAGATATATGAAATTTCACTGAACCAGCCAGTGCTTCTACTTGCCTTTGCCCTCACAATTCATTTTGAACCTGGCTCAGGCTATCCACAGGAACAATGAAGTGCAGCGATACCTCCCCCTCCCCCAAACATTTGCTCACTGTGTTAATACAGTCGGTTGAAATCTGACTTTTTCTTCTCTAAGTTTAGCCACATTGTGTTTCTCATTTAAGCATTATAAAGTCAAAGACATAACTTCTTTCTTAAATATCTGTGATGTATTTTACCTTGGGGTACTTTTAATCAGTAAGTATAATCATCCTTTCTTGAATTATGAAATACAGCTTTCAGAGGGCCCTGATCTGCATTACTGCTAGGAGCATAAAGTAATTCACTGTTGTAAACTTGAAAATCAGTATGGAATTAGCTTCAAGCATTTGTTCTTCCAAATATTACTGTCTTAATTTATCTTAACTGCAATCAGAATAATATAATAATGGACCTCTGCTGTAAAGAGACTCACAGGTTGTGTTCTCATTGGCTACAGCTTAATCCCAGTGCAACTGTAGATCTTGCGGATCTAGAAAGTCAGTGGAAAACACGCTGGGGGCAGTAGAACTGAGAGGAGTGAGTCCCGATGAGGAGCTGGGCATTGTGATGTCTAGCCATTCCATATTGTCCAAATTCGCATCAGGAAGGTCAAGAGACAGGCAGGAATTATTACTGGTAAACTGGGGGTCGGATGTTTCCATGGGTGAATGAGAGTGATCTAAAATGCTGGAGTGATTAAGTAGATCATTCTGGAGGTCTTCAATCAAAGAAAATGACTCTCTGTCCTCATTACTGCTTGTCAGTTGAGGAATTTCATTACCTGATGGTAAAGTTCCATCCAAGAGGGCTTCAAGTTGGTTTTCCAAACTTATAGACAAGCTGGTGGTTGGTTCTAATGACACAGGAGGAGGGGCCATTTGTATTTGTGGTGGTGGGCGGGATATCACTGTGTTCACTGGCATTGTAGTGATGTTGGCTGTTACTGGTCTCATTTTAGAAATGGGAGATGGTTCCTCCTTTATTGGAAGGGTAATCTCTGTAATAAAACCAAAACCACTCCACTACTGAATACAGAAAAGATAATGACATATCCTTAGGCTTACAACATCCACCCCTTTTTTTGCACACTTTGAGATGCTCCCACAGTGAACTCAACGGAGTAGGAGCAATTTTGCTGTTCTGATATATTAACCCTACATACATAAGATTATGTCAGGTACTCTGTGAACAACAAAGTATTTTAAAACAAGTTCCAGAGTTCTGCTCTCAGTAATATTTCAGCCAATCAGAATATTTATATTGATGAAAAAAGGAACAATTTTCTAGATGTTAACTTTACCTCATTAATGTTTATAGTTCTGACTAACCAGAATAATTATGGAACCAACACATTTTCAATTTCCAGTTCCATCCCTGTTTAGTACTATGTCCACCTTGATGATAAGAGTCACAGAGATCAATCTAGGATCTAAAACTACTCTTTCTGTCAAGAAGTTCCATATAAGATAGTGATATTAACAATAAAAGGAAAAAAAGTATAAGTTCCAATTAATTCTTATACATTAATGTAATCCAAAAGTAGGATTAGACAGAACATGGAAATAAATCCTCTAACACAGTTGATGTTTCTGCCAGCAAATGTACACCTGACAATGTATTTTGCACCACTTTTCCAAGCAAATCACACATCCTTAAAACCTGTAAGAGCATCTATTAAAAGGATTACTTGGTAAAAAAGCAAAGCATTACTAAATGGACCCTCTCACACTCTTGAGGTGCCTTAATAAACTAAGTATTTTTCTTTGTAGAGCTCACTTATGTAAGTACAAGAGGCCTGAATACTTTACTCTGGTTTTCATTAAGATGATCAGGAAATAGCTGCCTTTTTATTGCAACTTCACAAACCTTCAAATAGGTTTAGTAACGTAACACTTGAAGATCTAAGTATCACAGTATCACAGTATGCTAGAGATTGGAAGGGACCTCGAAAGATCATCTAGTCCAATCCCCCTGCCGGAGCAGGAACACCTAGATAAAGTAAGCACAGCAATGTTTCCTACATCCTCTGTTCCAGTTCAAACTACCCATGCAATATTTCAATAAAAGCACTGACAGCATTCTTCCATTTAGCTTGAGTTGTTCACTGCACAGGTCACTTATCTCAGTCTGTCACTGTCTACTCCATTTTCTTCAGCTGACTTTGCAATTTGCTTTGAAAAAGAGAAAATACTACAATGTTTAGAATATGGCTAAAATCTTCTAATAGCCCACAATCAGTCACTTCTGTCGTGGCATTCATGGCTGTCAAGATCCTTATATGACAGTATTACAAAACATTAAGTTAACTGAATTGCTCAGCACCAGAACATTTCCCAGTATTGGAATGGCTTCTTGGTCTCCAAAGCCTAATTATGCCTGAAAGCTGCCTCCTACTGCAAAGCTACCTTTGTATGTTACTCCGGTTATTTCGTCTGCTTTCTGATAGCTTCCTTATGTTAACTGACAAAAAGTTTTTATTCATCAATGCCTTGATGTAGTTCATACATACTCTTTCTGGTCATGTGTCTTTGATGTTTAAGAGCTGATAATACGTGGTTATATTTAATGAAATTTTAGTATCAATATTGCTTTAACTCTTACTCTATTTTTTGTGTAATTTCAATATATGTTATACGGACTTGCTCAACTTTTTCAATTTTGATAAAATACATCTGTGGTAACCTAAGGCATTCTTTTCATCGTTTGAATGCTGTGGATTATTACAGAGGTCTGCCTGGGCTAACTTAAAAGCAGAGAAGTTCCACAGCAGTTTGACTGCATGTGTTTTGGTAACTGTTGCCTTTAATAGATAATTAATGCAAACTTTCAGAAATACAAGTTTCATCCAGTTTGTAGAGCTTCTGTCTCCTCTCCCTGGGAGAATTCTATCTTTTCATTCATTTCAGTATAGTACTGAATTTTTATTCTCAGGTTTTTAATCTCTGTATCAGACAGACGTCACTTAGCTTACCTCCGCTCTTGATGAGAATATCAAAAAGATCATCCATCTGCTGACTGTGCGCACTGGAAATCTGTAATGCGTGAGAAAAGAGTTATTCTTTTTCTTGTAGTGTTTATGCCTAAGGTGACTGAGCCTAACACTTTTCAATGGTACATTAAGTACTAACATATGATCAAGACTAAAATTATTCATATGAAACTGTCAATCTAGAAAACAGAGAAATAGTTTGGAGAGACACTTGTGAATCCCTGTGGTCATTTTCAATACAACAGAATAGGGAAAAAAATCTGTAAAGCAAGACAGATTTCATGAAAGCAACCCAGAAGAGAGGTGCTGAAAACTAGGAACAAGAAGGACAATTACTAACCCTGTCTTGTACCAGGGTAAGTATCTGCAATAACTGCCGTGCTCTGGGGGGTGCACCCTGAAATGTTTTCTCTCAGAGACAGCCTGTGAATAGCCATCATGCAAGATGCATTTTGTTAGGTATGGTTTTGTTGGTTGTTGCCTTGTTTGTGTTTGGTATTGTAGGTTTGGGGTATTTTTTTTTCTTTTTTATCTTTTTTTCCAATCTGTAGATTCATGTTCTTTTCTTTTTTAAAGGGGAGGGGAAGCTTTCATCAACTGTTTATCTGTTTGTTTTAAACAGCCATCTCCTGAATATCTGAACCTTAAGCAAAAGTTTAAAAAATCCCCACAAAACCATTCTTTCAAAAACTGTCCAGGAAAAATGGAGACTTTCATGATGGTCTCAAAAACTAAAACAGTGTTTTAAAACACTGTTTTACTCTGGAGATGGGAAGTAATTTGTTATACTCTGGTATAACTCTGTTATAACCTTTGTCTGGTATAACTGTTATAACCTCGTGTAACTCTGGTTATACTGTGGAGATGTGAAATAATTTGTCATCCCAAGATCTAGCTCCTGAAGAGAGGCCAGTGGGGAGGCTAACTGGCAGTCGGTCATGTAAGACCTGTGTGCGTTCACTGTGAGGATGCCTCACACATGCCAAGAACATATGGAACAGCATTAGAAACTCATGCTTCTGTCTGAGTGTCTGTCACCATGAAACCAGCAACCAATAATAAGTCACTTCAATACCTTATCTTTTAGAATAGTTCAGAAGCACATGGGGTTAGGGATGCTCATTAGTTTTGTTTGCAACTCTCCTCCAACATGAAAGGGTATTGTGGTAAACTGACAAAGCAATCTGTAGAATTATTCATCAAGATCACTAAATATATATTCTTTTCAGGCAAGCACCTGGGCTCATGTATATAACGTCTGCCTAAATGTGTATAAACACAAACACATTCTCGTCAAGTTTACTTGAATTTACTTTCTCTTTTAAGCCTGAAGTTTGGGTATCATACATCCTTGAAACAAGTTGGGTAAAGGTTAGCTATTAAGTAGCAATAGCAGCATTATCCCATTACATGTATTGCCAACTGAATACTGTAAGAGTTACTTACATCTGTCTATTCCTTTAATAAAAAAGAATCATGAAACGGGAGCCCTGTAGTTAAATGCAGTTATGAAAACAGTAACAGGGTATGTTAGACAATCTTGACACCAAACAAGTACTAAAATAAGCAATGGCTGTGATAAATCTAAAGAAAAAATATGTTTTTAATAGACTAAAAGGAGAAAATAACTACCTCACGGTGCGATGTCTGAATATTGCGGGTCTGTTTTATGGCCTCTTCATACCGAGGAGGATCTTTTGTCTTGGATACTGTGTTGTTGAAGAGGGTTTGTTGAACAATATAAGGCTGGGCTTGAGATGGAGAACCAGGCTGCATGAAATAACAAAACAGTGACTAAACAATAGGCTTTAGTGAATTCAAGCAGACCAAGTTCTACACTGATTGTATTGTCAAACTGATCTACATACTAACAAATATCAATAATATAGGTAATCCGAGGGATAAAATAGTAATTTCTTCACACGTACAAACACATATACATTATTAAAATCTACAAAACTTTCTTCCTCCTTGAGTGAGCTGCGGTATGTACTTTAAGAACAATAATATAAACCTGAACTTTATGGAACATAGTGGGGCTAACCTTACCTTATTAGGAGTTGCAGGTCCATTCTGCACAGAGGGGACCTGGTTACCACCAGTGTGAATGTTAGAGTTTGATGTCTCGTTAATAAAAGATTGTGAAGGTGTTGTAACTGGTGCAGTCTGATAGGAAAATACTGTATTTGATGTGGTGGGTGGAAAAACCTGTAAAGGATTAATACATCAGTCTTAGGTTGTGTTGGGTTTTTTAATTAATAACATTGGGTAAAAGACATTAATAAATTTTAAGACCTGCTTGTTTAAATTCCCTATTAAGGGAATGTTACCTGTACTGATTTTTATCTCTGGTGGAATAATTTGTAAATCTAGAACAATTACTGTTTGAAAGAAACTTTGTGCTGTGATGTGGTTTCATTCATCACTGATAACTAAAAATATTTCCCTGCAATTTTTCAGGAAGCATGAGGAAAGTGCACTAATACAATTTTTCCCAAATACATTCAGCAGAGTATGGAACAGTTTATTACAGGCTACATGATTTCCCCACCTAGTGGACAGTCAAGAAAACTTATTTCTGACCTGATAAAAACCTATAGTCTATATAACCTGTCCTTGCTTTAAGATAGAATGGTTTGGTTTGTGCCATATAATTCTAATTTATTTTATCTAAAAATATCTATGAGTAGTGAGGGAGAGGCAAAAGGTATAAGTGATGAACTTGGGTATCAACTATAAATTTGGTTACTGGTATATAAACTTTTTATTTCTTTGACTGATAGTCCATACAGTCACTGTAAATGATTTCCAGCAGTATCCTGCTTCTTGTATTTTTAAGTTAAAGGGAGAGAAAGAGGGGCTATGAATATATGAGTATGCGAGACTGTATCACTCCCAGATACCTTTATGACAAAGGTGACAAATCTTAGATCAGGGATGGAGATTAAGCTATGATAAGCTTAATTAAGTCTGCTGTGAAAAGGTTTGATCCAGTTTTTTGTTAGCTCCCTCGATCATCTTTTCTGTGTGAAAACTTGTACTTTCCACCTGTCTGGCACTGGGGGGAATGGCTGAGGAGATGTTTTTCAGTTCATTCAGTAATGAGACGAGGGCCATGTGGTAGCTACAATGTGAAGAGACATCTCAAGTGTGCAGGAGAAAAGAAATGGAATAATCAGATGGTTTACATAAAAATCTAAGCTACCTGAGAAAGTTTAGACAGATTCAAGGGAAACTGGTTCTGGGAAAAACCTGTTTATAGAGGTGATAACTATTAGGAAGACCAACTTCACTAAAAAAGGTTAAATTAGGAAGTAGCATTATTCACTCACAGTTCATGAGCTCAATCTGCCTGCTGAAATAGCCAACCCTCATGAAATGCAAACAGCAGAGAGGTAGAGCTAATGCTCAATGCATAAAGACTGTCCTGATGTGTTGTATCACATCAGTATCTTACACTGATGAAAAAAGCAGTGGAATTATGTTGCTGGTCTCCTGTGTAAGAGTTGGCAGTAGATGTGTGAGAGAACCAGCTAGGACTGGCAGGCGGCTCAGCTCCGGGACAGCTAGATGCAGGGGGAACTCTGCTGGAAACTGTGCTGTCTCCATGACAACTGTTCTGTATGGGGGAAAGACCAGAGGCTTCAATCCTTGATTATCTCCTGCAATCATTTCAAGGAACTTGTAGTCGGCAGATGAAGCAAACTGCTAGTTTGGCACAAGTATACACCTTAGGATGACTGGAAAATTTCTATATGGGACTTGTCAAATTAAAGAGGTAAGATTAGCCAGCCCCTCACCAAATGCCAGGGAACCTGGATGAGATCTCTTTTTGGGTCAGGTTTGACTTCTGTAGGATAAGCTCAGTGTTGATGAAATGAAACAGACTGAACAAGCAGTCTGAAGAGTGGTGATGCACATTTAGCGTGCTCCCCTTTATTAGCCAGGCATGTAGAAAATGGCAGGGCGTAATTGTACATCTTTTGAGGTAACTTTTATCTAAACAAGAGCCTTAGCAGAAGCAGATTAGAGGACACTGCACAGGTAGAACATGGTTTTTATGATGCACTTTTGTAAACTGAAATATAAACTTTGAAGGCTTAGGTATTTTGTAACAGTTACAGGAAAATTACTGTAAAAATTAGCCTCTTCATCTTGAAATCTCAGTTGTTTCTGAATTACTCTTTCCTTGAGACAGGCTGAAAAACCTTGCCTAGTGATAGTACTAACTAAGTGATAGGAGCCCCAGAGTTGTTAGCACCACTAAGGAAGCAATAAAGGTATCCCTGAGTCTCTAATAATAGAGGTCAGCCTGAAAGAGGCTCAGAGGAAGAGAAAGCCCTTTCTTTTGTGATGACTGGTGCTGTTGGATTGATCTGTGTTACCATATGAACATGACTAGACTGGCACTCTCAGGTGTGCATCCAGTGCTATCGATGTCTGTTTTGGAATGGGATATTACAGAACTGACTGAGGAAGAGAAGGATCTCTCTGAATCACTGTCTGCATTACTCAAGAAGAGAGGTATCATAGGTATGTTAGGGTTCTGACTCACTGGAATTGCATCCTCAGTATCTGAGTCCATAGCTTTCTTAGCAAGTAATGATGAAACCAACAAGGAAAGCAGGGAAACTAAAACGAACTCATTTAAAATAATAAATCTCTGAAGACATAGGGAAAAGCTTTCTCTTAAGAACTGCCTACAGGAATCCTCCATTTTGAAGCAGCAGCAAATAAGAGAAACTGACTAAAATACCTGGTATACCACTTCTGCCAAGCATGTGGAAGAATGTAGTTAAGAGTGGTGCCAGAAGACTACCAGTAAGAGAAAAAGTCCTTTAGCCTTCCTTATTTATTTTCAACTGAAAAACAAAGTAAGTCCTGCATGGACTAAAATGTTGGAAAGAGAAGTTGCAAGCCCATTGTATTACACAGAAAAACATGGTAGAGAGATATTAGGTGACCTGACCATTTACATATGATGCAGATGACACTGCCTAGAATTAATTACACAACTATGTATCTTAACGCTTGTGCTATCCACAAACCTTTCTGATTTGTTGCGTATGACCAAGTGCGTGCTGCGTGATGGTGTTTTGTTTTGATTGTGGAGTATGCATCTGAGGTGCTGTCTGGACCACGCCAGAGGAAGAAACAGGAGCAGGTATTTGTGATGGGGTCTGTATTCCAGCTTGTGATTGAGCCTAAAGGATGAAGATAAAATATATGCATTATTCGTATCTCACAGTAAATTACATAATGTAAAAATCTATTGCATAGATTCTGCAGAATGGCAATAGTGTGTATTCTGGGAAGGATGAGTGTGAACTGTGTATAGGAAACAAAATTTTTACTCTGCTACTGGTGAGTTCCCAAGTAAAAGGTTTTAGAACGTTTACAGAAGATAAAGTGGAGAAGATTAAGTGAAGAGCAATGAAAATAGTATAAGAGACAGAGAGAGCATAACCAGCAAGAAAGGATTATAAGAACTGTGTTTGAATAACTAGAAAGACAAAACTGATGATGCAAGAAAAAAGGTTGTTTTTAAGATGATCATAGTTCAGCCTGGAGAACAGGCTGCATGGAAACCTCAGAGCAGCCTTCTAGTATCTGAAGGGAGCTTACATGGATGCTGGAGAGGGACTCTTCATCAGGCACTGTAGTGACAGGACAAAGGAGTGATGGGTTTAAAGTTAAACAGGGGAGATTTAGGTTAGACAGACAGAAGGAGCTCTTTCCTTCTTCTTTGTGAGGGTGGTGAGGCACTGTTACAGGTGCCCAGAGCAGCTGAGGCTGCCTCATCTTGGAAGTGTTCAAGGCCAGGCTGGACAGGTCTTGGAGCAACCTGGTGTAGCGTGTCCCTGCCCATGGCAGGGGGATGGAACTAGATGATCTTAAGGTCCTTAACCCAAACCATTCCATGATTCTATGATTCTATAGTCAAAGTAGTTTTTAATGGCCACTGAAAGGCAAGAAGCATGTCTAACCCCAGGAAAGAAAATTTTAGCTGGTAGTTAGGAAAACTTCAGCAATATCAGTGAAATGAAATACCAGAAGCTGCTGCTTATGGTTGTTAAGAGAATGCTAGCAGGATTTCAGAACAATTTAGACAAAGATCTGTCTGGCTGCATACCTACCAGGAACCACCTCTTGCACTGTGGACTGTGCAAGAATCAGAATTTTACAGTCCTCATAAATGTTGCTAAGTGCAGCTGTGCACACACAGCACCAAAGCCTCAGGCCACAGCAGCCAAGTACAAGCTGGGGCTGAAAGAATACTTTGCTGGCACAATAACCATGTGGGTGGCAGGAGATTTCATCTAGTCCCAATAATAGCACTGGGTATCTACCTTTGACCAACATGTTAAACTGTTTCAGTTTGGTACGGTTACTCTTAAACCTCTTCATTTATAACCTATCTTGGTTTATGCTGTATTTAGTCACTGTGATACTATAATCAGTCTAGAAATAATATTTGTGTAACTGTGTTTTTACAGTTCCAGTAGGGTCCTACAACCTACCATTCACGTTTTTAACTACGAGCCATCAGCACACAAGAGGTTCAAACACCCATTTTGCAAACAGGGATATTCAAATTAAAGACCTGGGTTTACAGCTATTACAATTTGGGGTTAACAACCTGGTAGCATATGCTGATATAAATTAACACCAACTGTGCATGAAGACAGTGCATGGAAAGGCAGCTACTTTTCAGGAAAGTATCTGGGAACAAAAGTTGCAAAGAAAGCAAGCACCAGAAGTTAGAAAGAGATTGGCTCTTAAGTCTTTCTGCCCTTTTACCTAAAGCAGAAAAAAGGCTAAGCCTGCTTTTTAAGTTAATCTTATAAGCAGCACATTTACCTAATTATAGTAAGTTATGCAAATAGTGCCATGCAGTTTCCATGATGGAAAAATAAAAACACCTTTACCTGCAACTTTATATTTCCAACTGGTAGCTGCACTGCAGTGGTAGAATTCGGTCCCTGGATAGACAGAGGAAGGAGCAGCTGTGCAGTTCCTTGGGTAGTTAATAAAGCTTGAGGCTGGGCAACAACTGCAGTTTGTGGCTGCCGCTGTGGATTAACATAAAATTGAGAAATGGCATTCTGAGGTTCAGCTTTGGCCACAGGTATCTCCTGCTTGATAACAACTGCCTTTTTGGCAACTGGATTCTGGCTACTAGTATATACTGATTGTCCTAAAGAGTGACTAGCTACAGGTACAGATTGACTGCTACTAGAGCAATCAGTAAGGGCATTTTCATCTTTGACAGCAGTACTGAGCTGCTTCTGTTCCAAAGCAGCTGAGTTACCAGAAGTCTGAGACTGTTGCTGTTGTCCCCGTTTTTCAACCTCAAGTTGCATTTTCAGGACTTCCACAAGTTTTTGCTCTTGTTCCAGTTTCCTTTTGAGCTCTTCAATCTGCTTTTCTTTTTCTTGAAGCTTTCGATCCTTTTCTGCTACATCAAACTCCATGGTTGAGATGTTTCCACTACTTCGATTCTGGTTGTCATCAGCTGTATTTGCTCTTAGCGGCGAAGTACTTAAGAACTGCGATGGTGACATCATGGTCATCATTTCTGTGAAAGTATCTGCCATACTAGTGTCATCTGTGCTTAGACTAGATTGTTCTGAAGGAGAGGGAGATACAGGCAAAGGAGAGCTAATGTTTTCTGTATTCACTGCTTTGCAGCCAGGTCCAGTAGATGTTTTTTCTGGAGGAAAGCTGGATACCGTGTTAGCCGCTGGTTTATTTAGTGTTGCAACAGGAAATGACACAGACACTTCCCCAGTGTTACCTGTGGCCCCAGTAGAGGTGGCTGCTGTAACAGAGCTACTAGTAGCAACCCCATTGTTATTAAGATCTTGATAGGTTTTCAGACGCTCAATAAGATCTGTTTTTGTTCCTGACACTGGTAATCCCCTCAATTTCAACTCCATTTTAAGCTCAGCTACCTGAAATAAAGCACAACAGGAAAAAAGTAGAACTTACTTATATACATTCTACCTTATTCCATCTTAATAATTATTTTCAGCATATTCACTAGTTATTACACTTCTGGGTTCTGGCACTGTGCATGATCTCTGAGCACATTTCCATGAACTCCTACTTCATTTCACTGTTTAAGTTGCTAAAACCTTAGTAGTGTTAAGTTGTTGTACGATGAATAACAGCAAATCATGCAGATTTTTCGTAAGTATTCAAAAAGGGAAAGTGAATATACAGGTCTAATTCTGGGCTAAAAGCTTCTGAAGCAAACCTGTAGAGGGTGGCAGCAGTGCAGATCAGAACACTGAACACTAGCATGCTGAACCCCTTGTTACACCATCAAGACACATAGATCTGAGAAATCTTATCAGGTCAACAGACCCATCAAGCACAAAAGGCTTCTCTCACTAATTAACAACTGAACAATTGAAGCTATGTGTCATCTGGGTTTCTTCTACAAACAGAAAAAGTGTAAGCAATCCAAATCTAACTTCTGGAATAAAAATGTTCCCAGTTTTCCAGTAAGCTTTCAGACAAAGTGAAGTGCAAATGTGTTGAGCGTAAATTAATTCTGTGATTCAGTCACAATGAATGGCTTCCATTTATGATATACATACACCACATCTAACTGTAGAGTGTTTGGGCTACATGTATGTTAGAACTACCTCTAAAAGAGTAAAAGATAGTGACCTCAAATATTTCAGTACTTTGCCAGTATAGAAGTTTATAGGTCCTCATGATTTGGAAATGATGAAAAGTCACATCAATCCTTTAGCATCTCTGAGAACCACATCAACTCCGTGTTAAATAACTGTCTCCCTAACAGTGATTATCAGCTGTTTCTCAGTCCTGTCTCCTCTACCCTTGTTCAAGAGTGCTTTCTAATCCTTCTGGGTTTCGGCAATGCATTTCAGCATTAATCAGAGCTGATTTAGTGTTAAAACCACCACTAGCAGGTCTGCTTATATTATTGCTACTACATTTGCAGGAATACCAAAAAGGAAACAGCTTTAATCACTGGAAAGCACAAATTCAGATATTAAATATCTTAAACAGTTATTAGTTAATAATTTAAAGTTTGAAAAGGTTATTTCAAATGCTGTTTTGAATTGAATTTTATAGACTGGCTATAGCCAGTCTATAAAATATATATATATATATAAATATATATATTTATATATATATATTATAGACTGGCAAACGACTGGCTTTAGCTGATGACAGTACATTCTTGTCTTGAAAATCTGATCTTCTGAAACCCTTTCTTTTATCCTGTCAAGTCTAAAAAATATTCCCATCCCTCAGAAACCCAAAGCCTTGTAAAGAGAGACATGAAGCAACTGCCCACTAGATGTCCCTGCTCCTCTGTTCAGGTCTGGCACATTCCTGTGGTTGCTATTGGAAGGATCTGAATCTAAACCCCCACAAGCTTCTTCAGACTCACTTTCATTAGGTACTTCACTGTGTTAATTCCTGTTGATGTATTTTGAAGGAAGAAAATCCTATACAATCCCGTCATATTACAGTTTAAAGAGAGTTTACACGGTTATAACTTTAAGAAGCTTTTACGAAATTTAGTGTTAATTTTCAGATGATGTATTGAACTCTCGTAAAAAGATCTCTTATTTCCTATTTTCTTTTACAGAGAAAATAGTGTTCCAGTGTTTAATCTGCCTGGGCTAGAACCTCACATGAAGGGTACCTCATGGTTTACCCAAGGTATCAAATTATGTAGCCATGCAATCTGTCCGAATTCTTCCTCTTCTAATTCTATGGGAAAGAAATGTCATTTCCAGAGCATATGCATGTGAGGAGGCTCACTCAAACAAATACTTAAATCCAGAAGAGTTGTGTTTGAAAACTCTGACAACCTTATTGTAAATAATTAAGAGAAAAGTACAGTCTTCATTGGTAAATTATATCCAGGCTTACTCTTGACAGTAACAGTTTGCAAGTTATGACCTATGGTAACACACAGGAACAGACAAACCCCTTTTATTTTTACCTTCAAGTCATCCAAGCTTGAAGGCAGAGGTCCTGGTTTCCGGCTAGGAATATTAGTGTTCTGTCTTGGGGAGCTGGCAGCTGAGGTGGGTGTGCTGCTGTTCAAATTAGTCAGTGGCGTGTTCCCGTTGTTACTCTGCTTGTCATTCAGTGGCCTTCAAGCGATAAAAAAAGGGGGACAGTAATGTCAACACTAAATGTATTATGTTTTCAGTCAAGAAGCTGTGATTCTCAATCTAGTGTCTCATCAAGTTAATGAACAAATTGTTTTTTTTCAAACAAATACATGTTTAACATAAGACATTAAGTATTTTTAGTAAAATAGCACAGAGAAGAAAACATAACAGGAGCGTAGAATGTTGGTATTTAATTTTCTCTTCGGGGAAGCGTACTAATTTAATTTTCATGGTTTTTATTATTGTCATGGTATCCCCGAAGGACACTATGGACTGTAGAATCAGTTCATACAAATCACTCATTAACTAGAGCAACCAGTTAAGGTTTTTTTTTGACATCAATAAGAAACCCACAATATTGAACCATGTATCAAACCAACATACATGCCCCCATGCTCATACACAATAAAGACCAATGTGAAGGCAGTTTAGCCTGAAGATCATGCATTTTTATCAGCTGTACTCATAAGAAGTATCTCATATGAGGATCTCAAAATAATCATAAAAAACTTAAAAATGCCATAATTGACAACAGCAACCATAAGTCAGATCTTTTATTTCGTTTAACTGATTTATGAAGAAATGTTTCTGAAATGTCAGTAAGTGGAACAGAAGAAGCGTGGGTAAGCAGGCAGAAACATCTCTAGTCCAAATGTTAGGATACATGGTAATTATAAATATAACCACAGATGGTATCTTTAACTTTTCTAGCCTCACTTGCTGAGGAAAAATAACTTGGTGAAAACTCATATTAAAAAAAAAAAACAACAAACCTCAACAGTTGAAAGTGATTTGAATTTAGGGTTGTGTGACTGTGGCATATTACACTATAAGCATTTCCAGGAAAAGACTGATCTTAGATGGTGAGAATGAAACCCTGCAGATAGTAGTCATCTTATTCTGCCAAATTTATTTTTCTGACTGCTTCTACCTCTAAATCAGAAAGTATATTTCTCACTGTTGATCTCACTATCAGATCAACACTGATAAGGAACTCTTGTAAGCATCAGCGATGAAACTATATCCAGTAGCTTCACTGATGAAGCATTTTATCCAATTTACAATGACTGTTTCTTCTTTTTTGTAAAACTGTAAAAATGTGCTCTGTGAAACCGATGTAAAAGGACAATAAAACCACAACAGTAGTATGTGTCTTTTTAAAAGCCATTGTCTGTAAGCTGCTCTTCTGCTCCGCCTATGTCATATTTGAGTGAAAATGATGTCAAAACTTTCTGGCTTTTGCATAATTGAGTTTCAAATATGCATCTAGGTCAGAAAAAAATGCATCTGACAGGTAAGAGGTTCTGTTTCAATGTCATACAAAAATAATTAGTATTTTAACAAGAGAACCTTGTTAAATGAGGCCGGTAATACCCACAGTGATGCACGTTGCCATTTCAGTTTTTTCAGGTTTCAAACATCTCTTAACATTTGCAAAACACGCTTCCTTCTAAAGCACTAGGTCTGTAACTGATGTACGTATCTTTAAAGGACATAAACAACGCTTCACGTACTTCAGCGGTGCAGGTAGAATTGTCTGGTAGTTGTAGTGTTGTTGCTGTTGGCTCAGGATCTGCAGCTGCAAAAACAGTTGCTGCTGTTGTAGCAGACGAGCATAGTTGGAGTCCATCTGTGGCTCATTTTTCTCACCTTTCTGATCAGGTGGAATATACTGATGATACTTCAATTTTTTCACCCTTGGCTTAGGTTCTTTACATTTCTTGCTCCGATGCTTCTCATTTGGGTTCTTTGGGTGGCTTTGCTGTTTATGGATGGAAAAGATTGAAAACACTGTTATAGCCATCTCATTTACAAGCAGCTATGAAAGGTACAAAGATAAACCTTATAGGAGCACACTTACTGCAAAGAGTTGCTGAATACCATTATCCCTGCAAACTTGCCCTAATGCATCACTTAACTAACCTTGAACATAACTAACTAAACATACTCCAGCTGGCTTATACTGTGCACAAGGAGGAGTCATTGAATCAGCCTGTGAATGTTTTTTAATAGATGGCACAAATGAAGCTAAGGGATTCTGCTAGTCACAACCTGCCACTGCAAAGAGGCATTCTTCTGAAACAGGCAAGTTCAAAGCCACTTAGCACTTGGTACAAGGAAAAGCTAGGATCTTAAAGTCTACCTGTAAACATCTGCAGCTCAGAGGTACTTACAAGTCTAGATTAAAAGCATGGACAATCCTAAAAATTACAGCATCACTCTTCGGAAACTTCCAGCAGCATCCCTATTAGTAATACTTGCACATGTGATGAAACTCCCTTCCTTTACAAGCTCTTTGAAATTATTTTGAGTGAAAAGTTGAAGGCTATTACCTAGGCACACAGAAGGTATCAAAGCATAAATCCTGTGTTGATCCATGCACATTTATTACAGCCTGTTTTGGGCGATATTTCACATTTGTCGTTAAGGTCCTGTGTTAAGGAAGCTGGTACAAGTCCTGTGATTTTACTGGATAGAGCCAGATTTATACCAGAAAATAATTCTCAGTTAAATTTACAAGGATGAACTGTAACTTCATGTAGTTAGGCAGAAGTCCACATACAGTTGTTACACAGCTGAAGAACTTTTGCAAAACTGCTGAAATGAAGTATTGTAGACATTTTCTAACACAACTGGATTTGAAGAAGCTTTCCATGCTGCTGGCTAGGTTACTGCAGAAGAGAGAACCAAGTATGTTCTTCTGGTACTCAAATACAAGGACACAGTAACTTCTCTCACACAGTGCCTTCTGCTTACACAATAAATGACCCAAGAAAACAGGTGCAGAAAAGGAGCAATGCTGTTCACCAGTTTGGTTACAGGTAGACTATGAATGTGGTTGCCTTCGTTTCTATTAAGTTATACTCCACACAAAACTAGACTGGAAGCAATTAATTTAACCCATAGAAAGCAGAAACTCAACACTGCAAAAATCTTATTTTCCTTACTTCTTGAAAACTTCCATAGCAATATAATGCATAATTCTGCAGAATTACACAGTACAACTGTACTGTCAGAACCTCTTGGAATAATGAGCCAGTCCCTACAACTGTTAATGATGGATCTTAGCATGCAAAGCTTTTAGTTAACAACCCAGCGTGTTCTCCTGAACACTAATAAACGTTGTTAGTTCTAGGCACTATAACATCACTTGTATTTTCATTAGATATAGCATTGGAAAAGGACATAGGTTAAGAACATAGTCCTCAGATGCCATTCTTACGGGTACCTACCTTTACTAATGTTGGCCCAGGCTTTGCTGCAGATACAGTATTTGTGGTCAGGGTTGTTGTAGCAGTAGAACGTGTAACATGCTGTTCAATTGTAGAGGGAGTTTTGAGAAATTCAGGAACTGGAGAGGTTAAAGGTGGATACTAGTATTAAAAAAATATAAGGAAAAAGAGAAACATTAAAAACATCCACCATCTGAGTCATTGCAAGAATGTGAAAAGGTTAACACAATTTACTGTCATGGCAAATTCACAAAATATTTTTAGGAGGAATGGCAAAACAAGGACTCTTTTGTACATGTCTACAAGTATTCTAAAAAGGCACATTTTGGCACACTTCAAATATAGCAAATAGGATAAACTGGTTTCTTTCCTTGACTGCTTAGTTTAGAATTTTATCTACTGCATGTAAATGCATCTGAAGTCCGTTTTTACAAATAAAATACAGTGCTTTTAGTTTCACCAAGGTAAAACAGTAATTGATTTTAATATCAATTTTTGTAGTATTTCTTACTACATATTTTCCCAGCATTTAATTTTTTCTTAATTATTATTGTTGGGTTTTCTGCAGGTAGAAGAATGACAACCCAAAAGGATTTATAACAACATACAAAAAAAGCAGAATCCTTCTCTCCTTTTAACCTACATGAAAACATTGCCTTTCATTCAAAATCATACAAAAAGAGGTGGAAGGCCCTTCAGAAGTACCTCACCCATTCAAGTCAGGAACATTTTACTTGAACTGCTCCTAACATGTATTTGTCTCACTGGTAGCCCAGAATCAGATTACCTAACTGATGCCAGTTCTTAGCTTTGTAACTGCAAAGAACTGACAGCTGTCACTGAAGTACTTCTGCTCCTGACATAAGGATACAAAAGACATCTTCTCTTCAAGGTAGTCATTCAGAATTACAGAAAAAGGTTATGTCAAATAAACTTCTTTTCTTGTTAGTTTCACATATCAAGGCTTCTAGAACCAATGAATTACAGATTTTATGAATATAAATAATTTCTGTATTTTTATATGCAACTAAGTACAGAAAAAATAGTTCAAAGAAAATTTTTAAAATGCTGAGCAAAAGGAGAGCTAAGGGTTAAAAATAATGAAAGGAAAATGGCGTGCATTGTTAGCAGAGATACCTCCATTTCTTTTTACGCTGTTTGAAGCACCATTAATATTTGCCCCTAGACACACTCCATGTTTACTGCAGAAGCCTCCTCAAGCTGCAGAGAACATGGCTTCATCCCCTAAGGACGGGGGCCTCCAGTACCTTTGAACGTCTGGGAAGTCAGAATCATGTGTACACAAGGAGAACCTTACCACCCAAACTAGTACTGTCAGAATAGCCTCCTTCATGAGGGTCAAACACCAACACAGGGAAATGAGCTTCTTGTTTCAGAATGATCATGCAGCAGCACAGATGCGTTTTACAGCGACAGCTTCCTATTGTCAGAGAAAGCACAGCTGTGACTGTGCCAGGAGGTACATTTCTCCTGGATTACATTACTGTGCAGGTACAATGCACTCGCCTGAACTTTACTGAGTTTGTTCCCTTGCTGCTAAAAATATCATATGTGCAGTTTCTTTTATAAACTTCTTATAGGCTTAGGACTTTTTTATTATTATTATTTTCCCAGCCCACCAGAAAATTCCCAAGATTTCCTACATAATAACGAAACTTCACTGAGCTTAACTTTGTCCTATCATTTTTTTCTGTGCTGAAATTTTTTTCTGACTTAAAACCTATTTCCCGTCTGTCGTGAATATCCCTCTGATGGGATATGGATGCTGTATATAAACAGATCTCTACCCTTGTTTTTCTAGCTACACAAATTAATTTTTATTCTTTTCTCATAAGAGATTTTTTTCATTCTCTGATCATCCTCTCATGTTAGTTTTTATTAGTCCGTCCTTAATATAAGTAGCTGGAAATGTATAGGATATTTCATATGTGGTTTCACTGGATCCTTGAAGTGGCATTAACACTCATACTGGAATCATCTCATCTGGCATACCTGCAGTTTCACAGAAGCATTAATGCCATAGCTCAGTTACCTCACTGCTGACCACTGCCACCCACACTGTATTCCTCCTCAGTTTTCTCTTAAGTCAAGAGTCCCCAGGTTTCAACACTTTGTCATGAGAAGGAGAGGTGGTGTATATTTTTCTATCTAATTTAACTATTCAATTTTATTGGAATTTTGTTTCTCTTCTACAAGCCCAATCAACAAGTTCTTTCTGCATAATACCAACACTCTGTGCTGACTATGCCTTCCATCTTTTGCTGCGTGACCCATTCTTATGTCAAGGTTGTTAATGGTAACATGAAACAATAAGGTCCCCAGATCAACTCCTGCAGAGCACTATTACCAGCTTCCTGTTGACCCAGAACTTCCCTGTCTTACCTTTGCTAAACACAATCTTCTCCAGCTTTGCTAGTGTTTAATATCTTAAAGTATTAAATCTAGACAGATGAGATCAGCTGCGTTTCCACTGTTTAAAAAAGCAATTAGATCACCTAGTACCATATTCTTTCTTATAAAAGCCCATCCTTTATATTCCTATCAATAAATATCCTTTTTCTTCAGAAAAACTCTAAAACCTTGCATTCTAATTAAGTCAGATGGGTACTTCTCCCTAATTCATTCCTTCCTTCCTATGCTCTGCTATTCCTCCATGAGATTGTACCACAAAGGACTTAAATCAGTTCGCTAAAAACACACAGTACACATTTTGCAACTTTATGTCCTGGTTCTTACGTATTTCTGAGATGGCAGTTACCAAGCTACCAGCCTGGAGGCACTGAACTCTCTGCCTTCAGCTTACAATTAAATTATAATAATTTTCCCTTCTATCTCTGTGTTTCTTTTAGATTTTGCTACCTCACCAACCATCAGGTGCCAACCAGCATCTATAGAGAGCTTGCCATAACCTATCTAAAGCGTTTAGTGGCTGTGAGCTTTCTGTGGTGCAGCCATCCAGAGGAAAAGCTCCTGATACTGCTTTAATAAATGGCAAGATTTAGTATGCCATGCCTAGTCACTGAAACATTGCACACATGCCTGTCTTGGGGTTGTGTTAGTTTATGGTGGCAGGCTAAAGATATAAATGCCTCTATTTTTATATCCAACTTTCAAAGTGTTTGCTCTGGAAAGCATCCGATATCTACACAGTATCTGTTATTTGCTGGAGAATAAAGTACCCTGCATAAGAACTGGCAGGGTACTTTAGAGGGACTTACCCTTTAAGCAAGGGTTCTGGGTGCTGTATTCCAACATATTGCACTCCTATCAAGTTTAAAAGGCTTACTCTAGTTATAGCAGTAGCGTTTAAAAAAGCACTTAGTTTGTCTTTGATTCGAAGTGTCACATACAGTATTACCATAAAGCACAGGACAATCCTAATGATCTCATGATTTTCACTGGATCTTACACTTTCTTTTCTTGAAGTCCCATCTAAAAAGCGTTTTAAACATGTGATGCTTCAGCTTACTGATTAAATTATCTTTTACAACTCATCATTCTGATCCTTCTGGAACCCAAACAAATAACTTGACTTCAAACATACTGTTTAGCAACCCCTTTATAGGCTATGAAAACTCCATAAAGACAGCACTACAAAACTTCTTCAAATGGAATAGTCACTTTCAAAAAAACCCAAAACCAAAACACCCAACACAAATAAAAAGAACCATGCTCCCTCTTTAATTCGTATTGGTTGTAATCACTGTGTTAAACGTCTCCTCTTGCCATACAGTGAATTACTTTTTCCTTACATTAGTTGTTATCCTAAATGACAAAGGATTAATGGCTACATAAAGCTTCTTACAGACTTCCCAGTTTTACCTGCAAGTGTTAGATGAGGTGATGAACTGTGTATATAATTAACTTGATATATTTTTAAATTGAAATAAACTAAATTAACAGGTTTTAACTTCTTCACTTGATTACTTCATAAAGTAATATAAAGACTGATTCCTTTAAACTGATCTTCTATTTCCAGTCACAGATAATATGATTTCTGGACCTAATTGCAAACAAGCATCTAGCAGGTCACCAAGCTACAGTGAATACATTAAGAAAACAGTCATTATATTCTGTCTCATGAAGCAGAATACTTGAGATATTTTGACAGTAACTGTTTCACGTCTTCAAAATTGTGAACACCACAATTTGATCTCTTTAGAGTGGTGTGGTTAAACTGCCTAATCCTTACCAGATGCAAATACATCAGGTTAAAGCAAGTTTTAGGTCATCAGTCAATGAGAGCTGAAGGTTCTCGAAGTTATGTTACATCCTCCAAAGCCGGGAAACGTGTGGAGGAGGAAGCCTTGAGAAGAACTCTGGCTGCACTCCACTGTTTTCAAAACATTCTTTGTATTTTATGTTGTAATAAAATGTAAAATTTGTCAGAGGAAATTAAAAGAATGAAGGAGCAATTTCCCAGACACATCTCCTGTAGAGACGTGATGTGCCGTTGTTCTTTATTTCCAGAGGAACAAGGTAAGCAGCTCTTTTATTCTGCAGAAGAGCATCTTCACAATTTAGATCTGTTCACAGAAGGGGCTGTAACGTTATGAAATCCATAAGCAAAGGACTGAAGTTCTAGCTGAAGTGCTTTTTCAATCAAATTCAAGTGCTCTGTTATGCTGTTGCTGCAATCACATATCTATCTTATGCTTCCTACTTGAAAAGCTTTTGGCACGTATTGCTTTGAGTATTTTTATTTAACTCTCCATTAGGAACCTAATTCTTTGCTTAGGAATCTAATTTCATGTGGTTTGTTTTCAATTTATGCAACACAAATTACATTCTCTCTGCAGGAAACCAAATTCACATCTTAGTCTGCATTTTAGGGAACAATGAAAGAAAGCGGATGTGCCGTACTTCATGTCCAGCATTGGTTTTGAATATGAACCTTACAATACTTTCTCTATCCACTACAGCAATAAGAAAACCAAGGAGAGTAATTGCAGATCCTAAACTACTCAGCTGTCAAGGATCCATGGTCATTAAGACAATAACATCTTTGGGGTACAAACAATATTTATCTCCTATTTAAATGTGTCGTGGTTTAAACCCAGTCAGGTAACTCGTTCGCTCACTTCCCCCCCCTTTCTTGCCCTCCCCCTGCTCCCGGAGGGACGGAGAGGAGAATCGAAAAGAATGCAACTCCCACGGGTTGAGATAAGAACAGTTTAGTAACTAAGGTATAACACAGATCACTACTGCTACCACCAATGATTATAATGATAAGGGAAATAACAAGGGAAGAGAATACATCATCTCACCACCAGCCGACCGATAACTCGCCAGCCCGACCAAGCTCTGACCGATACCTCCTCCAACCCTGCAGACTCCCAGCCCTTCCGGCTAACTCCCAGTTACATCCTGGGCATGACGTGCTGTGGTATGGAATACCTCTTTGGTCAGTTTGGGTCAGGTGTCCTGTCTCTACTTCCTCCTGGCTTCCCCTCCTCCCTGGCAGAGCATGAGGCTCACAAAGTCCTTGGCCAAACCTAAACATCCTTGTTATCAGCTCTGTTCCCAAGCCGAAAGTCAAAACACTGCACTGCACCAGCTACCAAGAAGGGGAAAAATGACTGCTACTGCTGAACCCAGGACATTATCCACCCCTTATTCCATACCATTCACGTCATGCTCAGATCCCACATTTTCAATACACCCATCACTCCACTCTTATCTAAGTGCATGGACTATAAAGCTATATCCCTATAAAGCTGCTGAGTCCATCTGGTCCATGATGTCAGGCTCCATCTCTTGTAACAGTCTTCCAGAGCAGGAGAGACTGTGTGCAGTGTTCACACTCGTGAATAACCTGGGCAATAGTGTCCATTGCTAAGTCCACCCCTCGATCATGAGTCCATCTCTGTGTTGCATCTCTGCTCTGATGGCCTGAAGTGCCATGGGCTGACCAGACTCAAAATAATTCACTGTCCCCTTAAGCACTTTCTGCAGCTTGCTGCTGGGGATTCCATACAGCTGCCTTCCATCTCCGATGCTTCCAAAGCACTGGAGGGGCCCAGTGGACTAGATACTTGCCCATACTGTCACACACACCCTGCCACTCATGACTGTCCAGCCTTGGGGAAAATCTCTTTGTCCCCCCATATCGTCGTCTAACCCCAGACAAGACCCAAACCTGACTCTGCTTAACCTTTGAGATCAGACAAAATGGTTGTGGGTAGAACACAGTCTGTGTGAGTGCCAACATGCTGATCCCCATCACAATCAGCAGGCAGGTCCCAAGGATGCCCAAAGGCCATTCAAAACCTTCAGAACTCTCAGTTGATGCTGCTGTACTTGTCACTGGGGCTGGTGCAGCTGCTGTACTTGTCACTGGGGCTGGTGTAGCTGCTGTACTTGTCACTGGGGCTGGTGCAGCTGCTGTACTTGTCACTGGGGCTGGTGTAGCTGCTGTGCTTGCCGGCTCTCCCACCGCCAGCTTCTCTTTTCCTGAGTCCAGCTCTTCCTCCTCTGCCTTGCTGGGAAATGCTGCCTGGTCTCCTGCATCCTCCTGGGGCTCGGCAGGCGGCTTCCGGGAAATGCTCTCGGCCGTCGCGGGGCTGGGCTCGGCCGCGGGGCTCGGCTCCTCCGCGGGGCTGGGCTCGGCCGCGGGGCTCGGCTCCTCCGCGGGGCTCGGCTCCTCCGCGGGGCTCGGCTCTTCCGCGGGGCTCGGCTCCTCCGCCGCCTTCTCCCGCTGCTCGGCAGCCGCCTCCTTCTGCTCCTCGACCGCCCCGACCTCCTCCACCGGCAGCCGTCCCCTCGCGGCCTCCGGCCCCGCTCCCGCCGCCGCTTGGTCCCCGGGGCCGCTCTCCCGGGCCGGTTCGGCTGCCGCCGGCTCCCGGGGCCGCTCCCCCTCGGCTCCCCGCAGCCTCACGAAGATGGAGAGTAGGGTGAGGGCCAGGAGGGTGAAGAGCAGCCGGACGGCCAGGTACAAGTCCACGGCCACGTCCGTCCCGCCCTGCTGCTGGAGCCCGCCCGTATTACAAGCCATTGCCATAAAGCACAGTGAGACAAGAACCTTAGCCCAGGCCCCATACTTGATAAACACTATCACAGCAAATACCGGCTCTACGTAAGTTACAACATTCTGAAGCTGTGAGATCAAGCGAAACAACTCTGAGAGCCAATAAATCAGCATTGTGACCAGTGACTATTAATCCAGTCAAATCTGTCGTTATCTCAACCCTTCGTGCCCCACGTTGGGCGCCAAAAAGAACTGTCGTGGTTTAAACCCAGTCAGGTAACTCGTTCGCTCACTTCCCCCCCCCTTTCTTGCCCTCCCCCTGCTCCCGGAGGGACGGAGAGGAGAATCGAAAAGAATGCAACTCCCACGGGTTGAGATAAGAACAGTTTAGTAACTAAGGTATAACACAGATCACTACTGCTACCACCAATGATTATAATGATAAGGGAAATAACAAGGGAAGAGAATACATCATCTCACCACCAGCCGACCGATAACTCGCCCCCCCAGCCCGACCAAGCTCTGACCGATACCTCCTCCAACCCTGCAGACTCCCAGCCCTTCCGGCTAACTCCCAGTTACATCCTGGGCATGACGTGCTGTGGTATGGAATACCTCTTTGGTCAGTTTGGGTCAGGTGTCCTGTCTCTGCTTCCTCCTGGCTTCCCCTCCTCCCTGGCAGAGCATGAGGCTCACAAAGTCCTTGGCCAAACCTAAACATCCTTGTTATCAGCTCTGTTCCCAAGCCGAAAGTCAAAACACTGCACTGCACCAGCTACCAAGAAGGGGAAAAATGACTGCTACTGCTGAACCCAGGACAAAATGTTTATTTTTACATTACTTTATGCAGTAAGAACTCCATAATCAGTTCTGTCTTATCTTTTGTTTGTGTCTTAATTAATAAATTGCAGCACAGTTCCCTATGTAGAGCTCTGGCTTTGCTACACATCCTCTGAGAGTTCAGATAGAAATAGATGCATTTTCCAAAAGAATGCTTAATAAAAAGAAAGGCATGAAAAAAACCACAACTGAATAGCAAATTTATGCATCTTTTTCTCTTTAGTGCAGTGAAGAAAGTGATGAAGGAACACTCTTGGAAAGTCCTCCTGAGGAAAAAGTCCATTATAGATAAGAGTTGATCAACATTAACCTGAAGAATATTACATGTTTATAGTGGCACCATTTACATACTGGTCAAATTTTAATACACCCTCAAATTCTTTCAAAATAAAGTATTTTAAAGGTATACAGGCTAGAACAACTTGATTTTAGCAGGTACAGGCTGGCATAAAATGAAACAAATCCAAAGGCTGTTGGATTTCCATTGAATTAACACTTTCTGCTTAAGAGATACTGTTCAAATTAATAGAAAACATTTCAGCTTATCAAGCAGAAATGACAACACTAATGAAATTTCTGTCTGCATATACACACATGGTGTATCGATATCAAGTGCACAAGGCTGAGAGCAATATTATTAAACTGATGCCATTTGTAGTCACTTAATGTATATATAACTGTGATGAACACCCAAATCTTTTCACTAAATGATTCATTAAATTTAACCATGGATTGTATGGTAAAATGCACCAATCTGAAACATAAATTATTGTGATAATAATACAGCTGCTTCCACTTAATGTACAACAGGAAAACGGGCTTACTGAGAGAAACAGCAGTTCAGGATCAAGGGCTTTTTAATAGCACACACAATAGCTCAGCAGACTTGTGTCAATTTGATTCAACAACCAATTCAGCACTGGTGTAAGGCAAAAATTTTGTCACTCTTCATTTCAGCATTTGAGAAAAGTCAAGTATTTTCATTCAAATGCACTGTTCTTTACATTGTCATGCATTTAAATACTCTACCATAAAGACATTTTATCTGCTATGGCAGACTTAGTTATTTTTCTTTCTTTGTAAGTAACTCGAAAAAATACTAAAAACCTCATAGAAAAATCAACGTAAAAGTTACTTAAATCTCTCAAATAGTAAATTCCTTAGGCAGTATTTTAAAACAATAGGACAGAACACTTAAATTATGTGGGAAACCTAAATTTTTTATGGACTTCTCTGGAGATATAATGGAACTGACGTCAACTGTTGTCATTTCAGCTAAGTTTAATTCTCAACAAGTTCAAGACCTTGCCCAGAATGAAGAAAGACATTAAGTAATCAGTAACAGCTGGAGTAAACCATGGATGTGACCTTTTAAACAACTTCTGGGAAAGCTGTAGATCTTCTATGGGCCATAATGAGTTTCAGTGAATTTATGGCTTTACCACAGCCTATGGGAATTTCATCACTGCCAACAGCTAAGTCTGGGTTCTAGTGTATACTCTCCTAAACAGAAAATAAGAGTCACAGGCACTCCTTTCCAACAGCAAATGAATTAATTCCATGTGAAACTATGCCCCCGTTTCTATAGTCCCAGACCAAAACCCATCCTGTGAATATTTTGTTTCAACCCTTAAAACTGTACCTGTGTGGATGTAGCAGCATTTGGTGTCACTGGTGATGGTGAGTCACTTGGTTTTGGCTCACCAGGGGAAGCTGCTGAACCCTGGGATTCTTGGCTGGCTGGCTGATCTGGTGATAAAGCATCACTGCTGTCTTCATCAAAGGAATAATCATCCAAAGCTTGAGGATAATTCTCTTGTCCAACTGCTAGAATGTTTACAAAGAAACAAGCAAACAATTATTGTTTTGTTGTTGCATAAAGTAAACTTTGACACTGGTGACAGAATTAGCCAACTGCTGGAAAATGGTCAGTTTTCAGCACAGTCTAAACATATGATACATAAGCATTTATTGTGGTTTTAACATACTGACAGGCATATTAAATCACATTCAAGGGATTGATAAAGCTAAGTGCATAGTGATTCAAAGGTATGTTTAACATCTGTGGCGTGCACACAGGCACCCAGGAGAGATGAAGTAGCGGCCACAGCTGTTTGATTATTTTGTAGTAATTTTTATTAAGAAACAAGTATTTCCAAAAACAGTATTATACTCCAACTATGTCATTAAAACTTAGTTTTGAATAAAGATAGGATAACTTTAATTAAATGATGTTTAGGACTGAGAAACTGAAAGAATAAGTAGTAATAAACCTTGAGTATATTTTCTTCTAGTGAACATTACCCTGAAGAGTTAAATTATTATATTCCACAATTCCTGGCAGATATGGAGAAGCTGTGGGACTCCTACTTGCCTATAATAGCTTCTTTAACACTGGAGTCTACAGGAAGAATATTTTTTTCTACCAGTTCCATAGGGCCAGGCCTCTGAGCAATCTTCTCATTCAGGTCATCTGCCAAGCGAGCTCTCTTCAGTTTCATCTGAGTGGCTTGTAGCGAAGGCTCCGCAAAGGTCTCTAAAAAAGACAGATTCATTTAAATGCTCTGCTCCATCTTTTCTCCAATTTCATGGCAAACAACATTGTCTCATCTTTGCAGTAGCCATTCCACTTCTATCAAAAGCAGGCAAGTAGTATCCTGAAAATTCTCAAATTAATAAGCAAACGTAAGATTCTGTAGCTGTTTTTCATCCTCATGATCATGTTTTTCTATACATATAACCTCTTTTCTAACAGTGGTAGTACTTTTGGTAAACATTTATATAATGTCCAACAGTAAAGCAGGGAATATAAAATAACAAGCAATTATTATAATCTGAAGACAGCATTTGCTGCTCCAGTGGTTTACCAGTGTGAGCTATGGTAAAGGTTTAATTAATCCACTGATTTTCGTATTGTCTTTTGACAAGCATCTTAAAAAGTTTACCTTTGAAAATAGCTTTTAGCATAAATTTCAGTCTTCATAATTGTATGCCAATGAAAATATGGAGAAAGGCTGTCAATATGGATGCGATATATCAATATGGAGACTCTTATCTGAGCTAGTATCCAACTGAATGTTTTGAAAAGCAATGTCTGTTAATTGATTTGGATCACGGTTATTTGGTAAGATTATGATGAAACACAGTAATACACCCGCATTCATAAAAAGACTGTTGTTTCATATGACCTGAGCAACAAGGAAAATAACAAGGCAAGGTAAAAGTCGAGTTCATTAAAGGTTGGTTGGCATGGTGGTGGAGAGTACATGATGTCACATAACTTTTGAGTACCACCATGGATATATCTATTATTATGCAGATTACCACAGCCATTGTAGAGCATATACACCTTTAGAAATAATTCATATCAAAGCCTAATTCAGTTAGGAAACTGTGCAAAACAGACATTCCTTCCAATAGCTGCTCAAAATGTACCTAGAACTGGGTACGTACCTTCCAGGATGTGCATTCTGACAAGCTCAGAGCGGTCTGGCCTGCTGCGAATCTTGTGCTTCAGGAAATTCTCAGTCTTTAAAGAAATGAGGAAATAGCATTGACTACTACTTATGAGAAAAAACAAAGAGGTTTGATAAACCTCTGATATCCAATCAATGAATATTTGCAATTGCATTTGGATGCTGTTAGAACATGGGCTCTAAAGGTATTTGGTTTGTTCTGGTTTTCTATCAGTCAAGCAGTGCTAATGAATTTCTATCTTCCGCAAACAAGTTGGGAATGCTTTTGGATTTGACCTCATACCACCACACATATCACAATAGTATAGATTTGCTTTAGAAATACTGCACAAGCATACTTTACCCATGTATCCTATTCTCAACTCAGTGAAGCCACGTATTACATCATGACTGTAAATCTATTTCCCCGCCTTCATCTGTTAAGGCTTAACAAAGTTCCTCTCAAATTTGACACCAATATTTTATTTTAATGGATTCTTCCAAGATAAAAGCACAGGTTATTACTGTAATGGTAAGAATTTTTTTCACATACTCAGAGAATTCAGTATCAAACACAACTATTCATTTCAGATATTAATAACAAGTTTACACAAAATGGTTTACCCTGGCTCGCTCCAGGCTCTTTATCTGCTCATGGAATGCAGCTGGACTTTTCAAGGCTGTGAAGGGAGAGTAAGAGTTAAATTGACAGAAGTGATTTCCAAAAAAAAAAACCTAATCAGCAGGTGTGCATGGGTGTTTAACACCATCTCAGAGTTGTGTGTGCATGTTACCAGTCTTACGTTTGACTCATACTAGTTGTATTCACTAGTATTTATCAGAGATGAGCAACACTGCTATACAGAGTACTTGGAATATTTGATTTTAGCAGATACTTACCATGTAACAGTTAACTTTTTCACTGTGTATACTGGGATCTATTTACCAAAACTGTTCCACAGTAGAAATTTTATGAGGTAATGTTCAGAATGCCAAAACACTGTTTCATTTATTCCACTGTATTTACTATGTCTATACCTCATACTTGCTGTTACTAGAGAGAACTGGACCATCCCTTAAGAACTATTTGTGCTGATTTAAATTGTAGAAGCCTCAAATGTTCAGACTGGAAAACAGAATGATAGTTAGCTGCTGAACAGCCAAAAAGAGCAAAAAACACTATCTCAACCGAACTGTTGAATAAGTGAAATGGCAGCAGCCATAGTCCATCCTATTTGCCACACTTTTGGCAAAGAGAAAATGAATGTTGCAAATGTGCAAAACAAAATCTTTAACACTTTAGAAGTTTCTTCCCAGGTTTCACTAAAAAAAAAAACAACAATCATTCTGTTCCTGAAGATAATTAACACTACAGGCCTGGGAAGGTGAAGATGCTTTAGCAAAGCAAAAAATCTGAAGTCTGCTGTATACTTGCAAGAAGAGATTAGCTTTATAAAACTGTGCTTTCAAGTTAGAATTACCTAGTGCACACTGAGCTATTTATAAAAGCTTGATATAATGTTGATAAGTGTTCAATGGCTGGGGGATTTGTTAGTTTTAAGGAAAACCACTTTTCACAGTTGACTCTTTTAACAACTTGGACCTATTATCTTGACCACTTAGGAATTCTCAATGTTTTGTGTACCACTCATCCTGAGGCCAGTCTGATCTCCAAAATAAGTCAGAAGACATACTAAACAATTAGCATAGTCATTGGGAGACCAAGTGGAAGAACATAAAACATCTCTAAAAAAAGAGTTAACTGCAGCTGAATTCTAGGCCACTAAATAGCCATATTCAGGAGGGCTCTCTTATGATACCTAAAAATCAATTTAGGAATCACAAGTGTTACTGCTGAAATATCCATCATCTCTAACAGACTGAAATCAATAATGGAAAAAATGGACTCTAAAGTGCAGCTGCATAAAGCAATTACTTTCAAAATACAAGTCCTGTCAATTCAGACATACAAACACAATAGACATCCAATACATACAAACATTATCTGCTTGTCAAAGCAGTAGGATCAGCAATTAAATTCCAGTGTAAGAGAGAAAAATGGTTTACTAAAGAACCGGTTAACTTCTTGCATAGCTGCCAAGGAGGGTAGGTAGCCAGGCCAAAGAGACAGAAGCTCAGCATGAGAGTGTTCTGAAATCATAAATACATCTCTAAATGTGTTTATGAACTTGGTGATGTTGCTGCCTTCACAAGACACATCACACTAAAGCAATCTTAACTCTTTCAAAGACAGCATCTAAAGGCATTCATTGAGTTTTTACCACTATACAGTCTTGGGTTTGGACCAGTTTGGACAGTTTGCCAGTTGTAGCACGTTGATCAGGAACTTCTGGCAACTGGAAAAAACATTTTAAATCAATTTTCTAAGAAATTTTTAAAAAACTCACCAAAGCCCCAAGATTCTTGGAAAGGGATTCATACTCAGAAAGGCTTAGGCACAGAAGCTTCTGCATTAGGTCATCCAGTGTTCAATGCCTAAGGCCTGGCCTAATCCACAGGCTCGTGTCCTGCAGCATCACAACTACCATCATGCAGGGTTTGACAAACAAGACGTGCCTGTTGGCACTTAAGTCACAACTCTTACATGCCCTTTGGTTTTGTTAGGCAGCCCTCGCCATACTACTCTTTTAAGACTACTAACTTTGTTACTGATGCTCACTCATTTATATAATTCCATTTACTTCAGTAAGATTAGTCATAATTTAAAGAGAGAAAATAAAGGGAGAATCAGACTATGTCTGCAAATCCTTGGATTTCCATCACAATGGCTATTTTAACTGAAATATTAGGTGAGCATGATGTTCATTTAGATTATGAAAAGGATCTCAAGTCTCTTCAAATAATAAAGTTATTTTTAATGATTCTCACAGAAATGCTGATCCTCATTATTCTACATTTTCAGTCCATAATTAATACAGTACAGTGATACAAATGACTAGAAATAATGTAAGTCTTACGTGGCATGATGCCCTGGTCCACCAGTTGTTCTCGTGTCCGTCTTTGTTGTAGTCTCAGCTGAAGTACTGACAAAAGAAAACAATCATTCATTCATATGTGAGCACCCTATCCCTCTGAAAGTACAAAGAATTCACAAGGTACTGTATTGCAACTCAGTAATATTTGTTTTCTATATGTAATCAGACCTGAAAGTAACCTCTAACCCAGCTACCATTAAGGAGTAACTGCTATTAACATAGTTACAAGTCACCACTCCCAAATCCTAGTTATATTGGAATTTGCTGCTTTTTGGTCACACCTGATAAAGGGAATACATTTCATACATATATCCACTTCTATCAGCTAGGCCTCATAAGAGGTATTAAGTATCCATCTGAATCTAGGAATTGTAACACTACTCAGAGAATATTCAAGAAAACCTCATTTATAGTGGGGTATAAAGATTTTATACCATAAACTGCAACACCTAATGATTATATAGCCTTCTTACATGTCTTCAACCAATCTTACATGACTGCACTATGCTGGAACAGAAATTATGTTGGCAGAAGATTTTAAAAGGAAAGGTATGGTTTGTTTTTTTTAATATATATATAAAGGCTTATTGTATATTTAAATAAATCCTGCTGAAATATGAAAAACTGAAAACACATTTTACCTGGCTTTTTTAAAAACACCAGAACAACCAGGAACAGACCTTATTCTCTCTCCAAACACCAGAAAATGCTGTTTCCCACTTAATCGAGATATATTTTATCATAATTATTTCAAGGACCAAATAAATCCAATAATGTCAAATTTGGGAAAAAACATTTCAGTTTCACAGGTAACTTCCTATGTCTCATTACATTTCATAAAATGTCCAAAGGTTCTGAACCAATGTGACACACATTAAACACTATACCAGGAACTCCACAAACCCTGGGGGAGGGCACAGACATAAAGGCTTCGTACTTTCAAAAATGAGGGTTTTTTTTGTAAATGTACCCAGAAAAAAATCCAAAATAAAATAAGAACTTGTTTCTTCTGTTGTTCCCTTCCCATGTTTCTTTATCAATTTATCACAGCACTTCATTATTTCTTAGATACATACAGACATTACCCTAATGTGAGATTTGATCTTTTGAACAAGAGATGGTAAAGAAAAAAATATTAAAGGTGTAATATTTACCTTCATTAATTTTGCCTTTATATCTTATTATGGATGTATGATTATAGCATGCTGTTCCCATTGTGTTTCACAAGGAAGCAAAACAAACTAATGCATTGTCCAAAACATCAAAATGAATGTAATATCTAAAAAATTAGGCTAAGTTCATTGTTTTCAGTAGTTAAAAGGAACCAGCTTATTTCCTGTTCTACAGTACAGGAAGGATACTCCTCTGGCTAAAGCATTAAGACCAGGAATAGCAAATCCTGAAAACAAGGACATTATTTTCTTGAATCACACAAACATTGAGAACTTAAATATAAACATTTCAGGGTTGTGGCATGGCAGATCTGTTCAGACTTTACAATATTGCTACACAAGAATTACAAAGGACACAGATGGGAGAATACAAAAGTAACAACAGTAAAATGTAAATTAATGGGAAGTCATTCAAAATGTATTGTGTTCCTCTGGAAACTTGAAAACACCTGCTTTGACTAATGAATTGTATTTTCCAAGTAATATTAAATAACTATAAAAAGTTAAGGGAAGACTTATAAGAATTTGAATTATTGTTGGTTTCCCTTAATTTCATCTGGTTCCAGGTAAGCCATGACCTCTTCTTACAGCAGCTCTTGCTAGTAAATGCAAACATATGTTGACTGAAGTCCTGAACCAACTCAAATGATGCTGTTAACACTCCTTTTAGCAGCATTTCCTAGGTCAGGTTTGGTGTATGGTGTAGCATTAAGTTCAGAGCATGGGCAGAGAAAGTTCAAGTCTTCAGGCAGAAAACCATGTGGGTTTCAAAATCTCACTGGTCTAATCTGCTCCCAAAACCGCAGGTAAGTGTGTGCAAACACACATTTATGCAACTGTGCATGCAACTTTAAAATCCCACAAGCTTTATACAAGTGTGAATTAAGAAAAATAATGTATTGGTCAGGATTTAGCTCATTCAAGAAATGCACACTTCGATGGAAGTGCACTTTAAGCATATGGTACAATGTTACCATGTTAAGCTTGTGGCTGCACTAGCACAAAGCCCTGAGAAATTCGCTAACTGGCATGATGTTTACAGGAAAGCAAACTCTTGGTATGTTTTTGTTTTGGGTTCTCTTGCTTACAACTGTAAAAAGAAAAAAAAAACCAGCTCAAGAGTTAGTCTTAAAACTAAACAGGCAACCCCTTTAAAAATCTTTAAGTTTTACACATCCAAATGATGTGAGAGCCAATTTCTAAACAGCATGGCAAGACTACCGTACATCACACTCTATTTTTGACTTTTTTCTGTTCTTCACTCAAACTATGTCCTCTTTTACACAACTGGGAAGCTGTGGAAAGGGTTAAAAAGCATGTTCTGCTCTGGGCAGGAAACTCATCCATCCTATACAGCTCTCTTTTGTCCGTATTTACACCATACTTAAATTTGTCTTTCTTAGAACACTAAGCACACTACAAATGTGTCTACCAAACCTTTTACCTAGTTACAAGTTAGTTTTAAACATATGCCTCTTTATTTCAGGCTCAAGGTCTTCCAAGAAAAATGATCCGCTCCAGTATCAGTTATGTCCAGGGCAGAGCTGATACATCTCATCAGACACAGTAACTAACTCAGAATTAGTATTTTTAAGTAATTTGTGGCTTCAATTATGATCAGATATTTGGCTTAAGCTTTGAAACAGAGAGAATACACAGTAGACTATAGCAGAAGGATGAGAAGAACAGTAAGAATGTACCTGCACATAAACCATATGCAGCCAAGTGTGAAGCTTTAGCATTTTTTTAGCAAAAATATATCTAACAAATAATTATGGTCTCTCATATCATTACTTGCCTACACTCCCATCTATTAATCTACACTGGGTATCACAAAGCAAGTAAGGGATGATTTTGAAGTTGTCCCATCTGTATCTGGACAGGTCATAAAAGCTGGGGGAGGACTGAAAAAAACAAGAGCTATAGAAGACATAGAACATGCAGCTATTCACTTATTAAACATATCAGGAACTTCTATATTACATAGTAAAGAAAGAACAGCCTGTAGCATGACTCATAGAAGAGCACTGCAGTGGGAATACTAAAGAAGAGATGACTCATGATTAGAAAACTGGTATAAGATAATCATTGAAGACTTGACTTGACCAGAGCAAGGAGGTTAAACAGAAACAAAGCTGGATGAAAACCAGATGTTTGCTTTTGTGAACAACCCCCAAATTAAGAAGTTTTAAAAAAATTATGGTGCCTGAATTTTTGTTTTTTTGTTTAATCACTTGAAAACATTAACAAAGTTGCTTAACAGAAAGTAACTGTGAATAAAAATCCTAATTATATTATTTTTTGATGTTTAAAATCTGAAAAAAAACAAAAAACTTTTGCTTTTCTAAAGCAAACAGATGGGGGAAGAAACCTAATATTTATATCTCACTGAAAGACATAAAAACTTAAAATATTTTTAGCCCCCATGGCAACAAAAAGTTAAAAGTAGAGACGTTTCTAAGGAAGAAATGGTAACACTTGGTAATTCTTTTGGCAAAGAATTGCTGCTGTATTTCAGTGAGAAACATCCTACAGATCAGAATGCAGATTGGTTTAAATCTAATGTAATTAAATCTAATACACTTTCCTTATCACATACATATAAATCCATATAGCAAGAAATTTCTACAAGTCAATAGTAATACACAAAATAGGTAAATATAAGAAGGTTGAGATCAGAGGACACAATTACCAAAAAGATCTACAGGCTTTACTACACTGTGCTATTTGCTCCAGTGTTCTCTTGTTTTGGTTGTTTTTTGGAGTGGTGGGGTTTTTTGGTTGGTTGCTTGCTTCCCCCTCTCTCTCCCCTCCCCAGACTGCAAAGAACCATTTCCAGACAAACCAGTGTGGAATCTGGGGAAAAGGGAATGCAAAAGACATGAGGGACTACAAAACGAAGTTCCCCATGGGGTGGTACTTAGTCAAACATTGTGTTTAACAGATCTTATTAGGGTAAAGCCATTCAGCTTGCTGCCCAATGGTTTACCTCTCACTTTTACATTTTTTAAATTAGGCATTAGGATTATCTGCATAACATCTAAAATCATAGAAGATGATCTCCAAAATAAAGGCCCAGAACTGAAAAAGGTTTAGATATGTTAAACACTATTAATGTCAGTAATAATATTCTTCTTTGTAAAGTGTATGTGTAAAAGAAGAGCTATGTTAACACCACTGAGCAAATCTAGTTACCAGAAGACAGCACAAATATTTTGCACTTAACATTATCTGGCAGGAATCCCCCTTCACATCACTGCAAGTCTAAGAAACTGTCTTTGAACTGCTTCTGAATAAAAGCCACGCACGGAAAGGTCTGTCAAACTCCTGTTTTGACTGAGAGAGAAGGGAGGATATTCTTTTTTATTTTCAAGTCAGTGTATGATTTTAAGAGTAACACTAATGCCAGGTGAAGAGATTCCAAAATTTCCATGTTTTCTTCAGTCAATAAAATGATCAAAAATCTTACATAGCTTATTTAATAAGTAAGTACTGAAGAAACCAAAAAGCATAATCCCTCCTCACAATAAGAACATCAGGTTATCTTGCTTTCATAAAGTCAGTAAGCATCTTCTGACTTCCCTGGAGGTACAGAATTCTCAGCACCTGAAAAACTGAGTGCCAGAGCCTGGTGCTCCCAGTCTTACAGCTTTTTTCCAGTGTCAGCATCCAATGGAATTGATGCTTCTATATCAAGGGAATGGAGATAATGGTACACAAAAGGAGAAGTTATCTGTTAACCAGTGCACTTTATTATTTTCAAATGTATTTCTATATAGCAGTAGATTTTATAAAGTTAACGGCCTTTGTTTCCAAACAGTGAGTACTGTTCAGGTTCACATGCACTATGCCCTGAAGGGGCATACAGATTAATAA